ACGTGCCTCTCCAGGCGTTACGGGTTCTCTTCTATATCCCCCCACTCCCTCGCCTCTGTGGGGCCCCGGACAAGTCACACGACCTCTCTGGAGCCCCCGTTTTCTCCTTTTAAAACAGAGTGCCAGTGTGGTGGCATATGCCTGTAATCCCAGCAATTTGGGAGGCCAAGACAGGAGGATTGCAGGTTTGAGGCCAGCCTCGCAACTTAGTGGGGCCCTGTGTCAGAATACAAACTTTAAGGGCTGGGGCTGGGGCCCAGTGGTAGAGCGCCTGCCTCTCACGTGTGAGGCACTGGGTTGGATCCTCAGCACCAAATAAAAATAAAGACAGATATCGTGTCCATCTACAGCTAAAAAAAAAAATATTCAAAAAACATTGTTAAAGGGCTGGGGATGTGGCTCAGTAAACTTGCCCTGGGTTCAGTCCCCAGCAGCCCCTGCCAAAAAAAGTGAGTCAGACCACCTGCAGGGCAGTAGGAGGACCAGCCCAGGGGCAGGGAGGGGCCTGTGGAGTCGGCCAGGAGGTTTTGGTCCTCTGGAGCAATGGGAACGGTGGGTCCCTGCCTCTTGGGTTCAGCACGCCACTGAGAGGTGGCCCTATGTGGTGGGCCCGGGCTGGGGACTCTGTGTTGGCCATCGCAGTGGGGCTCTCCCTGTTCCCTCCTCTGTGGTCCCTCACCAGGCTGCTCCACAGTCTCCCAGCCGCCACCTGCCCTGCGCCACCCACTGTCCACGTAGCAGCCTGAGTCTGTGCCCTGACTCTGCAAGGCTGGCTGCCGGGCAGTTCTGGGGCCGGACACTAGGGGGCGAGCTGTGCACACGGTCGGTCTGCAGGTGCCTCCCTGGGTGCCGTGGGCCACACGCCGGGTCCCTTGAGTGGAGTGACAGAGGTCAACTTGGGTTTGTGTCCCCACGGTCAACACCCTGGTTTTGGATGGTGTGGTCACATGGGTGTCTTGGTCTCTCTGCCAAAGCATGTCCTGAGTAGTCCTAGGTTTTCAAAGGGGTCTTGGAAGCAAGAGTCGGAGTCCACCCTACACCTTCGCTCCTCCGCCCGCCACGGAAGGGCTCTGGCCTGGCAACGGCTGCCTGCAGCCTCCGCTCTGCCCAAGCTGCTGGGTGGCTTTGGAGCCATTCATAACCTCTCTGAGCCCTGCTCTCTGGTGCCCCCCCCC